CCTCTTCAGTTGCCACTTGGCTTCCATGGAAAAGACGGGGCCGAATCAGAATAGCAGTGCCCCGTGGAGTGGGGTGACTGGATGGGACCGGAGGGGATGTTCTCTTTCTTGCTCAGGGTGCAGGTTGCCAGTTAGGGTTATAAAAGTTCATTCAACTTTATGATTGTGTACTTTTCTGTTTATACATTGTACTTCAATAAAATGTTGTCGTTGTTGTTGCCGTTGCTGTGGTTGTGTGTGCGTGTGTGTGTGTGCGCATGCGCGCGCCGGTGTTTTAAGGCGATGACGAGCATGCCCAGTGGCCCAGTGGCTCCAGGCCCCAAAATACCACCCCGCTGTTTCTCTCCAGGCAACGGCCTGCAATTTTTCTCTTGCCCTGAAGCCACCGCCGTGCAATTTGCACCTCACTAATTTCCTGGCTAAGCCTTAATGCTGTCTGGTCACTGCTCCACCCTCCCTGAAAGCAGCGCTCTGATGTCGCTACTGCCCAGCAGTTTGGGGCTTAGGGGCTGCATCTGATTGGCCACTTGTGACCTGGACGATCCTATTTAGAAATGCAGCTTTAAGGAATCATACAAAGGGGTAGATGCTCTGGTAACACAAAGTAACTGTATTGCAGCTTCCTCAAAACCCGCGGTATGGAGGCAGCTGAGGTGGATTTGTAGTTGTTCTGAGCAAGCAAAATATTACATTTCGCTTAGGTTTGAGGGGGTGCCATTTGGCAGGACCGAGTGATTGACGCTCTTACTCTCCAATTTTCTGCTCGCTGAAGCATTAAAGCAGCAAGCCTGAAGTCAGGAGAAAGCCAACAGCCTGGCACAGAGCACTTAATTCCAATTTGCAAATAAAAAGCTTTTATTAGACCTTTCCTCCTCATTTTGCATCAGATCTCAAATTGTCTCTCCCAGGGGCTTGCCAAAGAGCAACTGTAGCAGATTGTGAAGTCCTTTTGCAGGTGACAGTTAAAACGGTTGGGTTCTTCTTTTCCATAATGAAGGGTTAGGAAAACTATATATAAGTGGTGAGTAAACACTTGACTCCTTATTTATGCTTCCTGATTCTTAAGGCAGGGTGGGTTAGTGGAAGAATTCACTTGGGTTAGATGGCAGAAGAGCTCAGTTCTGGTACAGATTAGGGAGGTGACCTCAGATAACTTATTTAGGCTCTTTGAGCCTCAGTTTTCTAATCTATAAAATGAGAGGGATGGACTAGATAATAGTCAATGGCCTTTTGTCATCCAATGTTCTACTAATCCATGATATATTTACAGAGCTAAATATATATTCATCCACCTTAATTAAATGTGTTACGGTTTTAAGAAAAAAAAATCCTGTCCACTTAGAGATGAGTATTCATTCATTAAGCAAATATTAATTTACCAGATTCTCTGCTGGCACACGGTAAAGACACAAAGATGAGTACAGGTAAGTTCTTATTCTCAAGGGTCTGTGAATATCCAAACAGTGCATGTGCACATCTCCTTTGAAAGATAATAACAGTAATGAACATGTAAACTCCCTCCTGCCCAGGTGACAGTCCTGACCCAGGTTTATGCCCAGATTCCTCCATCATATTCTGTTTAAAAGTCACCTCTGTAAAGTTTTCAAAGTCTGAATGTCTTACTAGAATCCTTGAATGAGTTGATTAAGAAAATTTGCTCAGTGCAAAGCACATGCACATTTGATTCACTATTGATCTTAAATTGCTCAAGGTCTCTCTAGCCACTTTAAGGTTTTTCTGTGTGTGCATTTGTGTATGTGCGTATATATAAATAAATATATACATATATTTATACACACACACATGTGTATCTACTCACATTGGGTATATGCATTTGTTTGTACTGGGTTATCTTTGGAAAAGGTAGGTCACCCAATGGCCCTGGGCTTCCCTACCTAAGAGTTAAAACCCTCCCTATCGGGCTTCCCTGGTGGCACAGTGGTTGAGAGTCCGCCTGCCGATGCAGGGGACACGGGTTCGTGCTCCGGTCCGCGAAGATCCCACATGCCGCGGAGCGGCTGGGCCCGTGAGCCACGGCCGCTGAGCCTGCGCGTCCGGAGCCTGTGCTCCGCAACGGGAGAGGCCACAACAGTGGGAGGCCCACGTACCACAAAAAAAACAAAAACAAAAAAAAACCCCTCCCTACCTAAGAGTTACAAGTGTATTTTCACTGTTATGTGCTTGTACACCCATATATTCAGCAGTGTCCACATACCCCGTGGATCTCTTGCCCCTCAGTCCGTGGAGCTGACACCTATGCAAGGGTGCCCTACCCAGATCAGTCCCCACTAATTCCTAGTCCAGGAAGCTGCCCACTGGCAAGGCCCCCTGCTGGGACTAGCTCCATAATTTGTGGGACCCAGGGCAAAATGTAAATGCAGGGGTCCCTTGTTAAAAAATTATTTAAAATTTCAAAATGGTGAGAGCAGAGCATTAAACGAAGTGACGGACCCTTGCAAGATTGCACATCCATGAAGCCAGCCCTGCCCTCCGCTCTGCCTGTCTGTGCTGCTGAGAAAGGGCATGCATCAGGGCAAAAGACTGCCCTAATGTGCTTCTAGACAGCTCTACCATGGGCACTGGCTAAATGTCGCTGCCATGAGCTCACATTCCCACCCATTCTACCTCTACAGGCTGACAAGGATGGAAAAATAGGAGACGATGGCAGAGAGGGTGCACGAAAGATGGCTTTTGCTCATAGTATCAGCCAATGTCTACAAGGACTGTCAGAGATCATGTCACCCGGCCTCTCACTTTTTTGTTTTTTAATAATTAGAGGCTGCAGGGTGGGGTGGGGTGGGGGGACATGGGCAATAATATTTTGGGCATCTGCCCTTTCTCTCTGTCCTCCTGGGCCTGGATTCTTAGTTCCTCATCAGGCACTGCTTGGCTTGGACCACGTTTAGCTAGGGAGACGGAGCCACCCATGGATTGATCATTCACCTTGAATAAGTGTTCGTATTTCTTCTGGACCTCCTCAGGGCTCAACTTGGAGAGGATGACAGCCCCTTGCTTTCCAGATGAGGAAACTGAGGCCCAGAGAGGCATCCTGATTCTACCGAGTCTACTGAACTAGTTAAAGCCAAAGCTGAGGCTAAACCTCAGGCTTGAATGTGAGCCCAGGCACTTCAGAATTGCACCTACATGAATAAGTCTTCTGGGAATGCAGCCCATTTATAATGAAGGACACATTTTCAGACTGTTCTTAAATTCTGAGACTAGCTTCCATGTTTCCTCTTCAAGTTGAAGGTAAGGAAGGAGGACCCAGGATGTGAAGCTATAGTCTTCTAAGCATGTCTTCATCACACCCAGACTCCTCTTCGTGGGCCCTTGTCACCATGGCAGCAGCATCTTCCCTCCCCAACATTCAGAACCCTTAGGCCCTCCAAGCTCCCCTTCTCCACCTTCGTCCAGTTTGAGGGGTTGAGACTTCTGGTGTGAACAGGTTTCAGTCAGAGAATGGGGCGATTTCCCAGCTGGGGGAGACCTTGGAGATTCTAGAGAGCAGTCCTGAGAATGGGATGACAAGAGGAAAGTAGGCAGGTAAGGACAACCTCTTCTTTGGACCCAGGAGACATACGCTGAGGATCTCAGAACACCAGATGGAGAAGGGATGGCAGAGGCGGGGCCCAGCCACTTCACTCTGATGTCCAACCCAGAACTGGCAGGTGACTTGTTGGGGTCACAGACTAAAATCAGTGGCTCCTGACTTCCATCCCATCTCTTTCCACTTTTTCTGTTGATGGTCTATCCACTCTTTTATTTTAAATGTTTTATCTTGGGGCTTTTTACCCCTGCGATGTATCTTTATTAAGCAGATGGGCCCCAGACGTCCCTGCCCCCAAGAGTGAGCTGCTGCCTGAGCTACCAGGGCCCTGATGACCCGTAAAACTTTCTAGGACCTGGACTCCTTCCTGGAGCGGCGTCCTCATCCTCTGCTCTAGCTGAGCCAGGACAGTTCCCCTTTCTCACCTCCCCTATTCTTAACCCACCCCTTGCTCTCCTCTCATGGACTCAACCCTCCCAGATTCATCATCCCTGTTTTTTTGGCAGGTTTGAGGTTGGTTCCATCAGTGTTTAATGATTTTCCGTGTCATAACTTCCCCGTACCCGACACCCTCGTGCCTCCAGTGTGATTTCTCCTCCAGCTGCAGTTCTGTGTGAAGGCTGCCCGCCTCTGGAATGCACTCTCTCGGGTACCAGAAGTGTCAGCGTGCAGAGCAAGGCAGGAGGGGTGGGAGTCTGCGCCTGGAGCTGGCCTCAGCCGGGACAATGGGACTTTTATTTCTGGCCTGGCTCGGCTGGCAGTCTCTCTCCCGCTCTCTTTCTCGGTTGGGCTTTGGTTTAAAGTTACTCTTTCAGGATTAGGTTGGTGTTTTCTTTCCCATGCCACCGGGGAAGTTTCTGTTTCCGAAGTGGACCGTACACAGACAGGTCAGTTAGTCACCAGGCTTCGCAGGGCCACAAGCATCGGTGTTCAAAGGCTTCTGTAAATCACCCTGGCAAGCAGGGGCCAATCTAACTCGCTTCTTGCCATGTGGAAAGGCGCATTACACTGCGGCTAATCTTTAAATAGTTGTTTTTATTGGGTATAGGTTATTATAACCAAGCACTTCTCTCTCCACCTCCCGCCCCCAAACTTTCACAGAAAATCCTGGAAGAACTGCTGGGGGGTGAGGGACGTCTGTTCAAGCAGCCTTGGCTTTTACTCCTCATTTTTATGCCTTCAGTCACTACCAAGTCTGGCCATCGAGGACACCCAGCTCTCCTTTTCTCTGAAACTCAGTGACAAAACAAATGAAACAATACAAAAGGTTTTCTTATTCCCCTTAACCCAGCTGAGATGGGCCAACTTTTTTTTTTTTTTTTTTTTTTTTTAAAGAAATACTAAAAACCTCGGGGGTTGGGAGGCAGGAACACAGAATCTCTGCAAAATCAGGGAAGCTCTTTCAGAAGCCCCAAGGCCCTTATCCTAAGATTTTTACACTCTTGTCCCTGTGGGGCTGGCGTCACCTGCCTCCAGCCATCCCTGTGGCTATGTGTCTGGCCCCCTATTATTCTCTGCTTGGGGAAGCTGTGCCCCCATGAACACATCCCAACCCAGATTATGGGCCCTCAGCCTCCACACAGGGGATCTTACAGAGACTTGCCCCCTTGCAAGCCTGTAGCCTGTTGTTGATTTAACCACACAATAACCACACACATAGCTACACCCATACCAGAAGGGTAAGCACACTAGGAACAAGGGGTGGTCTCTCTCAGCATACCATTATCTTATCCGGGACTTTATCTTTTTTTCTTTCTTCTTCTTCTTAGTACAAAAGTAATACCTACTTATAAGAAAGGGCACAAAGTAAATAAAACAAAACAAAATACATCTCTCTCATCTCTCTTCCCAATTCCTACTCCCTGGGAGGAACCAAAACTAATAGTTTGGGGTGCTTCCCCTCAGATCACAGACACTTCCCATGATCCAAATAAATACTCCTGGGCCAAGTTTTTGTTGTTGATGCTGTTTTCAGCTCTTGTTTTAAGACCAACTTTACTGAGATAAATTCACGTACAATAAAATGCTCCCCTTTGAAGTGTACATTTTGATGAGTTTTGATAAATGTCTACACCATTATAACCATCACCACCGTCATGATACAGAACATTTGCATCACCCAAAAAGTTCCTTTGTGGTCCTTTGCGGGCAATTTCCCACCTCGGCCCCAGGAAACCACTGATCTGCCCTCTGTCATTACGGATTAGTTCTGCTTTTTCTAGAATTTCGTATAAATTGAATCATGCAGCATGTACTCTTTTGTATCTTTTTTTTCCCCTCAGTGTAACATTTCTGAGATCCGTGCGTGTTGCTCTATACAGTAGCTTGTTCTTTTCTATTGCTGAGTAGGATTCCATCATATGGATGTACCGCAATTTGCTCATCCACTCACCTAGCGCTGGATATTTGAGTTGTTTCCAGTTTGGGGCTGTTATAAATAGCTCCAAAAGCTGTTATGTTATTTTGAAACATGAAGAGAGGGAGAGAGAGAGGGAGAGAGAGTGCAAATCCAAACGTAGTTCAGGCCTATAGATTTCAGAACTTAGCAACTGACATATTTGCAAGGCAAATATCTCTATGTGAGCAGAAAGCACAGGTAGGCCATTTTAGTCGTGATCACAATGATGATCGTTGTTAACATGAAATGGTTACATGACACTTCACATTTGTAGACTCTGTTTTAGAAGTGTTCTCTGGCAGTGACCTGACACTGTTTGGTAATTCTATAAATGTCAGGCTCTTGATATGTTCTTCCTCAATTTCTGAAAGATTTAGGAACATTTATACATCAAGGCTAAAGTATCACCGTTTCACAATACTTCAGTACAACCGAATCCCTTTTCTAAGAGAACTGACTTCCCCAAAACTTTACGCTATGGTCTGAAGTTATACTATGGTTCCCTGCACCTTGCTTTTGTCTGTCACAGGCAGCTCAGGCTTTTCATCATTACGTTTTGTAAAGACACCTGCAAACACATCTCCTTTCTTGATTTCGTGCGTGTAACTCTTTAAGTAACTTAGAAGTAAGAGCCCTAAGGACTCCCTTATTGAGAGAAGCACTCACTTAATAGCAGCTCTCATGGGCCCCTGCTGCATCCCTCCTGCAGCAGTGTACTGGAGAGGGCTTTCCTCCCCCCAAACCCCCATTGCTTTAAACCAAAACTAATATTAAAAAAGTCCATCAGCAAAGCCTGTTTTCTAATGGTTGCTTTAATCACAGTAAGGGAGATTTATTCCTTATTACTCTCAAAACTGGCCTTGACCGGCTAGAAATAAGAGGAACTATTCACTCCATAAGGAGAAAACACGGATGATTATAATGTATCAAACCTCTTTCTCAGGGACTTCTCTGGTGGTGCAGTGGTTAAGAATCTGCCTGCCAATGCAGGGGACACGGGTTCAAGCCCTGGTCTGGCAAGATCCCACATGCCGCGGAGCACCTAAGCCTGTGTGCCACAACTACTGAGCCTGCGCTCTAGAGCCCGCGAGCCACAACTGCTGAAGCCCGTAAGCCACAACTACTGAAACCCGCGCGCCTAGAGCCCGTGTTCCGCAACAAGAGAAGCCACTGCAACGAGAAGCCCGTGCACTGCAACGAAGAGTAGCCCCCACTCGCCGCAAGTAGAGAAAGCCAGCTCGCAGCAACAAAGACCCAATGTAGCCAAAAATAAACTAATTAAAAAAAACAACAACAACTCTTTTTCTCCCCTCCCTCCTTGTTATAAGTAAAAAGAGAAAAATAAAGCAAAAAGCTGTGCAAAGACCAGGACACGGCAATTCTCAAGACAGTGACAAGGGACACAGAGCCTAGGGAACTGGCTGCCTCAGTGGTTTTTCTGTGAGTTGCCTGATCAAAGCCACTTCGCTCATGGCATTTAATAGAGGTACCCAGACAACGTTCTGTTTCTACTGCAGCCAAAGAACCTCTACCCTCTGGCCCTTTTCACTGTTCGTGTAGACCTGGCCTCCTTGGATGAGTCTTGTGCCACCCAGGCTGGCCCCCAGGACATGAAGGAGCTGACTGAGTGACTTCCTGAGAATGGGTCCCCAACCTCACCGCCTCCTCCACATTCTGCAAGGAGGGGCAAGGCTGGCTCAACTGGTACTTAGAAGACATGAGGGATTCTATTAAGAGTTTTGCCTGTGAAACATTGACCTGTGTGCCTGCTCACACAGATCATTTAATTCCTATTGTGGATCAAGTTTTAGGGAGTTTAATAAGAACTATTCCCACAGACCCCTCAAAGATAGGTCTGCTATACGTACATCCATTAATTAAAAAGAACCATGAAAAAAACGGAAAGTAGAGAGCACCAAAACGTGGTTTGACTTACTTTGCTGATTTCATGAGGTAATTTGGATGATGGAAGACATGCCACCCAAAAAGCAAAATCATCTAGTGAAGTGGTGGAATAAACCTATACATTCAAGCCATGATGTCCATACTTCTAGACAGGAATGCAATTTTCCCCTCTTTCGAATTATTCATTTCCTTTTTAATAGGTCACGTCTCATTTACCTTGATTTAGCATCAGACCAAGTACAGTTATGTATTTGGTGAGGGGGAGGGAGGAAAAAGAACAAGAGAGAACTTCATGTGAAATATGGTGACCCTGTCCTTAAAATGCAGTCCATGTGGGTCAGAAATGGTACTACATCTTTGATTCTTTTTATATTGCGGGAAGAGTACAGGGCTTCCTTATGTTTATATACTTGAAAGAATAATGAGAAGTATGCTTGAAAATACTGTTTGATGAATAATGCTTTTGCATGTGTCACTGTGAGGAAGTATCATAATGCACATTTCACCACAAGGCCAAGGAGAATATTTAAAAAGAAAACTCCAGTGTAATGTGAAAAATAGACTGATCCTTACATCTGTCTCCAGGATGAATAAATCACTAAACAAATATTTTAATGGCCTTAAAATACAATCAAAAAGAGCAATTCCCTAAGGTGGTTAGCTTGAGTCCTCATTAGAAGGTTTATTTTCTTTGAGTGTATAGGTTGTTATATATCTAAAATTGCAATTATGATAAATTTATAGGAAAAACATCACATGACCACATCATGTTAAATGGGCTTGCTACATGATAAGGAAGAGAAATAAAGCATTGAGATGAAGAACAGGCTAGAATAAGCAATCTTGACAAAAGAAATACCACAGTCTGAGGTTCTAATTCTGACAGAAACTTCAGGTGACTTAAAAAAAATCCCCCTAGAACCCTGACTTCTTACCATGATACTACCCTTTGTGCCACAGTTCCTGTTGTACTTACAAACCTATAAACTAAGAATACCATGCAATAAGTTCCTGTTGAATAAATGAATATTGAACCTAATGTAGTTCTCAGTATTCTACTAACTTTTTATAGCCTTCTTTTTTTTCTTACCACTGGCCTGGTGGTTCAAATCATTTAACGAAAAGTTAGGAAATTATCATGACCTTCAGGACTGATGAACCTTCCTAGACTTTGGTTTCTCTTTGGAGAAAAAATTAAAATTCTTTCCCACAGAATGAACATTGTAAGTGAGGTCTTTAAAGAATTCTTATTTTTTTAACCAAAAGGAAAAAAAAAAAAGGTGATACAAACTTGCTCTACCAGGTTGGACAATGCAGAAAGGCAGAAATTACAAAAAAATGTGATAGTCTTCTTACCTAAAGTCAGTCTCGGTCTTCAGAGGTAAACAGCATAAACAGTGCCAGGTGTAATCTTTCAGTGATTTTTCTATAGAGAAAAATATATAGAGGTGTATTCTTTTTAATTTTAAGCCAAAAGAAGGGTATCATACTATACATACTGCTTTTCAGTTTGCTTTTTTCTTAGTGGGATTTCTTTAAGTTCATGTGATAGAACACAATCCAGGCCAGCCTTCAAAGAAAAGGATCTCTTTCTTTCATTAACTCATCCAACAAACAGTTACTGAGTCTTCGCCATGCCTGGCACCGAGTTGGGTGTGGGAAATACATCAGGGAAGGGCTACTCAGCATGTCACTGTGAATGCTTTGTCACTGACCTCTGGAACCTTTGGGAACACACATTTTAGCTCCTGGCTACAGCATCTGATGGCAAAACTTCCTTGGGGATAATATACACTAAATTCTAAAATTTAATTAAACCAGATATATTTGCTAATAGGGCTTTATTACATACATTTTTGTATAATTTCATGGAAAGCAAAAGATATTTTTATCTTTTGAGTTTAGACTAGAATATATTTTGTCTTTCTGTTGTTTCCTTTGAGGATCGTTGACATGTAATACAGTGTAGCTGTGGTTCTTTAATGTCTAGCGAGGGGGTTAGGAATCCCCCTCATACCGCCAAGTTATGCCTAAGTCAGACCACCAGCCACAAGGAAAAACATTCCTCGGCAGGAAGTGAGCCTGTTCTCACACACTGCAGAGAGACTGCTGCCTGGCTTAGATGATATTCTGGAATGGGAATATTCAAGCATAATGTTTTAGAGAAAAAAGATAAATGCCTCCAGGATTTTCTTGTTTCGTGGGTTTTCATGACAAGAGGGGAAAAGCACACTTGCGCGTGTGTGTGCCCACACATGCACACGCTTAAATCCTTGATTGTGTAGAGTCTAAAACTCCCGGAACCCTGGGGTCAGCATTAGTTAATCACGGCTGAGGCCCCAGTAGCTTCCTCTGAGGAGTAAAAGCAAACCCTGGCATAAGGAAGATATCTGGGAGGCTGTTTCTTAATGTCATCTCCCTCCTGCACACCTGACCGGTTATGAGAAGAAGCTGAGCCTCAGTCCCTCCCCGGAGGCTGCCAGCCGAGCCAACCTGTCCTCCGGGTCTCTCGTGGGCACCCAGCTGCCCGGCACGGAGGACTGATCGAGGCTCAGCTCTGGCTAGCTTTCTGGCTTTGTCAGGGAGGCATTTACAGCTGCCCGCTGACCTTGCCTGGCCCACTGTAGACTGTGTGGGCATTTATGCAGTCCCAAGTGGGAACACCTCTGCCCGATTCTCAACCTCGGGCAAGAACTTTTTGAGCCCTGGCAGCTGAAATGAACTGGCAGCCTGGAGGACAAAGAGGCATTTGCTGGGGACTGAAAGTGAACCTCTCCAAGGCAGACCGAGGCCATTTCTCAGCACTGGTGGGGCTGGGCTGACGGTGGGAGAGCAGCCTGTGGGGAGACGGAGGGCATCCGTGCTGGGAAGAGGCAGCGCAGCCTGGGCCCCGAGTCTCCCTGCTCGTCCTTGTTGAGTTTGCCAAACTGCAAGGTTGACGGTCCCTGAGCTATTTCTACAGCTATAGCTAGTCACATGGACAATTACACATGTCAAGGTGACCATAGCGTGACTACTGTGCTGTCCACTCAGTCCGCAGCAGAGAGGGAGTGGCTTGTGCAGTGCTTGATGTAACAGGGGCTGAGCTCCTGGCCTTGGTTCCTTCTAACTGTAACCGTAAGCAAAGGGTCTTTTAATCACAGGTGTTCTGGAGACAATACAAACGGGCTGACGCCAGCCTTACGCTGAGAACAGAGCTATATATGGTTAAGTATACAGCGCTAACTATATATGATTAAGCAAACTGTGCAAACCGGAGAGAAGCTTTCTACTACCGGCTACTAATCCTCTCCTCTCCTCAGAAAAGCAGCTGCTGAAAACCCACAGCCAGGGTGGGAGCCCGCTTTCAAGATGGCCTCCAATAACCCTTACCTCCTGGTCTTCGCACTCTTGTATCTTTCCCTTCCACACTGTAACAGTGTGGGTCTCTATGACCAATAGAACATGGCAGAAGTAACAGTAAATCACTTTCACAATTAGGTTATAATAGGGACAGTGGCTTCCATTTTAATCTCTCTCTCTGATCATTTGTTCTGGGGAAGGCTGTCCTCATGTTGTGAGGACACTCTGTGGAGACGCCCACGTGTGAGGAGCTGAGGCCCCCAGCCAGCAACCATGTGAATGAGCCACCTTGGGAGCAGCTCCTCCAGCCCCAGTCAGTGACTTGACTGCAACTACAGGAGAAACCCCAAAGCACCAGCTAAACTGCCCTCGAGTTTCTGACCCACAGAAACTGAGATAATAACCATTTGCTGTTTTAAGCCATGAAGTTTTTGTTTGCTTTGTTTTGTTTTGTTTTTGTTTTTGTGGTACGTGGGCCTCTCACCGCTGTGGCGTCTCCCATTGCGGAGTACAGGCTCTGGACGCGCAGGCCCAGCAGCCATGGCTCACAGGCCCAGCCGCTCCAAGGCATGTGGGATCCTCCCGGACCGGGGCACGAACCCGTGTCCCCTGCATCGGCAGGTGGACTCTCAACCACTGCACCACCAGGGAAGCCCCTAGCCATGAAGTTTTGAGGGCAATTTGTCACACAGAAATAGATAACCAGTATAACCAGGAATGGAAACCACCCCTGACTTATTCCTCCTCTGGATATCCTGGCTCAATTAACCTTCTTCTCAGACCTTGCTGCTCTTGCCTTAGGATGGTCTGCATTGAGGTGGGAGCACCTCTGCACCAGGAATCTCACAACCATACCTAGCTTCAGTCCATGGACTTGTACAATGTCTACTCTAAGAAGGGATAAAATGAAAATTATTAAGAAAGATTTGAAAAAAATAACTATTTTAACTGGTAACCAAAGAAGGCTAAACTAATGCAAATATGAGACTACATTTTTTACTTATCAAAATAGTAAGGTTTTTAAAAAATACTCATACTTAATGGTGAAAAGGTGGTTCAATCTTTGTGAACTGTATTAAGAATATTCAAAAATTTACATACACTTTAATGCAGAGTTGATTACACTTCTAGGAATAGATGCTATGAAAGCAAATAGAAACGCAGATAGAAATTACTAGCTAAAGATGTTCACTGCAGCATTTACAGTAGTAAATCATTGGACACAACCTTTGTCCTATAATAGAGAATTTTTTTGTTTTTTTAAATTATGGTACATCCATTTCATCGGAAGTAGTGTTGCTATTTATAGATTATAAAGGTTTTTTTTATTATGTGGGCACATATTTAAGTAGAAGTTCAGGATACAAGATTATAAATGTAATATAGTTTCAACTCTAGAAATATAAACATAAATGAAACAAAGACTGGAGGGAAATGTGCTGAAATATTAGTATCACTTATAGTTTGAATAATCTTCCCAGGCAAGGACATGGGATAAATATTTTTTCTTTATACTTTTTAGAATTTTTACATTAATAGGTATATTTTAATATGTCTATTTTTTTTATTGAAGTGTAGCTGATTTACAATGTTATACTAGTTTCAGGTGTACAACATAGTCATTTAATATTTTTATAGATTACACCCCATTTAAAGTTATTACAAAATATTGGATGTATTCCCTGTGCTGTACATTACATCCTTATGTCTTATTTATTTTATATCTAGTAGTTTGTACCTTTTAATCCTCTTCCCCTATCTCGCTCCTCCCCCCACCCTTCTCCTCACTGGTAACTGCTAGTTTGTTCTCTATATCTGTGAGTCTGTTTCTGTTTCATTGGTTTGTTTTATTGACAGATATTAGTTTAATAATCAGAAAAAAAGTGTTAAAATTGCAAATGTATGGAAAATATAGTTTCTTAAAGTTTCTAGTATTTGCCATTATCCATAAACCACAATATACATTTTGGGTGATTTGTGAATGATTCACATCAAAAGCCTAAGCCAACTTAAGCTTCACCCTTCTTTTCAGGTAGGGGACTAACAGGTATTCTTTAATAAGACTGTGGATTGGGCAGCAAGTGTGTGATGAGCCCAGAAGGATGCCTGGAGGGAGATGTATCCATTACAGCATCCTGACAACAAAGTGCTCAGGGGGAGGGGCTCTGCAGGAAACCCTGTGAACCCAGGATTCTCTTTTTTCTCTACCTAGGGATGGAAGTGGGAAGATAGAATGCAATTACAAAAAGTTGGTCACTGACTCTGAGACTCAAATTACTGACAGCTTAAAGTAATCAACACTATGAAAGCCATAATTATCCCAATACTGTAAAGTTTGGGGTTTTAAAAAAAAAAAACTTCTTCCAAGCTGTGTCTTTCTGTCTGGGTCTCTCTGGTTACATAACTAGAAAAGGGCCCGCTCAGGAATGAATCACAGATGGCTCTGCTCAGTGTTTGCTTTGAAGTCAGTTCAACTTGATTTATCTGGTCCGTGGTTTGAGGCTGGGATGCAAGGATCCAACGACACACCAGTGTCCAGGCCCCAAATTAGGGACAGAGTAGCTGTTTCCTGGGCACAGTGCATGAGGAAAGGATTTGCCCTTCTGGGGTGTTGATTCTGATCCTGGCTACTTGATGGGGAGGGGTGGAGCCTGGGGGCTGGCTGAGGCCTCTTCTTGTCCTGCTCTGTGAAGGCTGTGGCTCTAAGCATGAAGTGGGCTTGGCCTGGCTGATCTCTTCCAACCAGGGAAGCATCAGACCACTGTTGGCTGGGTGAGGTCAAATGAGGCCCCGGGCTTCAGCCTCCACTGTGGGTCTCAGTAGTTATAGCTTGTTGCTCTGTTCACTTTCTCTCAGGTAGTTAATTATATCATTTCTCCCTCCAGTTTTCTGAAAGGGATAATTGACTCAGGAAGCAGGAGTGTCAAATACTTGTGGAGGGCGGTGCCCTTGAGAGTCGTAGAACCAGAGACAGCCAGCACCAGGAAGACACTAGAAGTCATCTAGGTCAGGGGCACAGGCCCGATGCCTACAGGGACAGAGGTTACCTGCAGGCGGGCGCTCGGGAGGTATAGCAACAGCAGA